TATTAAAAAAAAACATTATATTCAAATTCTATACAGCACATCCTGTCATATGTTAAAATAAAAAATCAAATCAGAAAACACCTTTACTTTCAGTCTCTCACTTTCTCACACACTTTTTCTCAGACACCTACCCATCTACACACTCACGCACACATTACACATTTAGACGCACATTTCCTATGGACAGGCCTGGAAATACTTTGCTTTGACGTTAACATCTGCAAAAGAGTTTGGTGGTAATTTCATTTTAAAATAATCGGAGCTTCAAAGTCTGGTTGTAAAGGGACATACGTCCTTATTTAGGAGCTTGAACACACACACACACACACACACACTGTGAATATTTTGCACATGCTGCTCTTTAATTGCGAGATGTAGAATATTTCGATGTTCAGGGGAGGCAGTGAAATAGACGGCTAAAAAAAGGCCAGAGCCTGCAAGGAACCCTGCTGAATAAAACAGCTCTTCCATCTGTTTCCAATCTGTGTGCATGGCAAATAAATGTGCATTCAGTACTGTATGCCTTTGTGTTCTGGTGTGTTGGCTTTTCTAAACAGGTCTGTCCAATGTATACATCCATTTTAGAACCCATGTCCTATTTAAGGTTCTTAAATATTATATATTGTTTACTGCGCAATGGCAGGTAAACATTGTTTGTGTGTTGTGTATATGTGTAAGCTCTACATTACAATAAAGTCAGTGTGGTGTGCTTATCAGGCAGAAGAGTTCTCAGAAGTTCATATTTCATGAAAAAGGTATAGTGTCCTTTCCTGGCCTCTGATGATTTGTGCATGTTACCTGAGGGATGAAGTGTGTTTGCATATGTTAGCTCACTCATGTTTGAGCATGGGATTGTTGGGGAGGGTTTAAGTGGGTCAGGGCTTTGTTGTGTGAAAGCAGAGAGGATTCTGGAAGCTCTAAGGATATTACCTGAGCCAATGTTTGCAATGGGTTTAGTGTTTGCAGCAGTTGATATATAATATTTGTGTTTTTTTGTAAAAAATGCAAAAAGTTGATGTGTTTATCTTTAGGTTGTTGATTAAAAGTGAACCCGAATGACAAATTCCAAGTATTAGCTCATAGATTTGGTCTTAAAAGTAGATTTTATCTTCACTGTGAGATGCAATTGAAAAAATATTTATTGCATGATTGTGTTGCTTATCAGCTGATATAAAATATATATATATATTAAAAAAAAACATTATATTCAAATTCTATACAGCACATCCTGTCATATGTTAAAATAAAAAATCAAATCAGAAAACACCTTTACTTTCAGTCTCTCACTTTCTCACACACTTTTTCTCAGACACCTACCCATCTACACACTCACGCACACATTACACATTTAGACGCACATTTCCTATGGACAGGCCTGGAAATACTTTGCTTTGACGTTAACATCTGCAAAAGAGTTTGGTGGTAATTTCATTTTAAAATAATCGGAGCTTCAAAGTCTGGTTGTAAAGGGACATACGTCCTTATTTAGGAGCTTGAACACACACACACACACACACACACTGTGAATATTTTGCACATGCTGCTCTTTAATTGCGAGATGTAGAATATTTCGATGTTCAGGGGAGGCAGTGAAATAGACGGCTAAAAAAAGGCCAGAGCCTGCAAGGAACCCTGCTGAATAAAACAGCTCTTCCATCTGTTTCCAATCTGTGTGCATGGCAAATAAATGTGCATTCAGTACTGTATGCCTTTGTGTTCTGGTGTGTTGGCTTTTCTAAACAGGTCTGTCCAATGTATACATCCATTTTAGAACCCATGTCCTATTTAAGGTTCTTAAATATTATATATTGTTTACTGCGCAATGGCAGGTAAACATTGTTTGTGTGTTGTGTATATGTGTAAGCTCTACATTACAATAAAGTCAGTGTGGTGTGCTTATCAGGCAGAAGAGTTCTCAGAAGTTCATATTTCATGAAAAAGGTATAGTGTCCTTTCCTGGCCTCTGATGATTTGTGCATGTTACCTGAGGGATGAAGTGTGTTTGCATATGTTAGCACTCATGTTTGAGAATGGGATTGTTGGGGAGGGTTTAAGTGGGTCAGGGCTTTGTTGTGTGAAAGCAGAGAGGATTCTGGAAGCTCTAAGGATATTACCTGAGCCAATGTTTGCAATGGGTTTAGTGTTTGCAGCAGTTGATATATAATATTTGTGTTTTTTTGTAAATGCACATATATTTTACCATACATTACTATTCACAAGTGTGGGGCTAATAAGATTTTATTAATGTTTTTGAAATACACCTTTTATGCTCAAAGTTTGTGTATACTGTTTCTATTTTAATATATTTTTAGATTTCATTTTAAGCCGAATTGTCAGCAGACTATTATGGAAGCCTGCTTCTGCCAATGAATAAAAAATAAAAAGGTAACTTTTTGCAGCTTTTTATCTCACAATTATGACTTTTTCTCACAACTGAGACTTTACATCTCGCAATTCTGATACAAACTTGCAATTCTGACTCCTTTTCTTGGAATTGTAAGATATAAGCTTGAAATTGCGAGGAATAAAGTCAGAATTGTAATATATAAACTGGCAATTCTGAGAAATGAAGTCAGAATTGTCAGTTTATATCCCACAATACTGACTTCATTTCTCTGACTTTAATTTCTCAGAATTATAACTTGTATATAACTTGCGGATTTGTATCATGCAATTCGGAGAAAAAACTCTGAATTGAGAAATGTGAACTCGCAATTGCAAGAAAAAAAATCAGAATTGTGAGATTAAAAGTCGCAATTACCTTTTTTACTTAAAAAACAACAACTTTTGAACAGAAGTGTACATGTAGTCTAAATTAATTACTAAATCCACATTTTTAAATTCCAAGATAGCGTTACACAAGACACAGCGACATGCTATAAATACACATTTAATATTACACATTAATTTTTTAAAAGTAATATTTGTAATACTTACATTTTATATGAAACAATATGCAAAACAATTTGTATAATAATATATTTCATCAGCTAAAATAATCTAAAATATGAGTATCAGCACCGCAACAGCATTGAAAGGTTAAATGTGTCTGGGGAAAGTTCTGTATTTGCAAAAACACTGTTGCAGGAATACACCTCTGCCCTGTATGTTTTATATGTATATGCTCATTTAAGGATAAATTAATGTTTGTGAATAGGTCCATAGGAATCCATTGATTCTATTCAAATGAATATGTCTTTTATATATTATTCGGATTCACTTGTCTTTAAACATGTACGGACACGTGTGTCTGGAAACATCTGAAATGTCATGTATGCTTTCTTATTTTACTACTCCATCTGTTCAGTCAATCTAGCATTATAGATGTTATGCACATTAATGTCTTCTCTCTCTCTCTCTCTCTCTCTCTCTCTCTCTGTCTTTATGTGAGTGTGTTGATCTTGACATCTGGCTAGGTGTTCTCGGAGGAGTAATTCTCAGTAAATCCACAACCTAGACCAGAATCATTCAGCACACTCTAGAAACAAGGGGAGACCAAGGTCATTTAAGTAAACAAATAAGACCGTGTCTTGATTATGCAAGCAAAGGAGCTGCTTTTGAGATGGAAAAGAAGAGAACATTAAAAATAACCAAGAGGAAGTCTTAACATCTCATGTAAAATGAATAGAAAATAAAACAGCTCATAAAATATTGAGTTTATTATTCAAATATTTATTATTTAGTGGAAATGACATAATTTCTGGCCTTATTGTATCCTATTTGTGGAAAGTAACAAGTATATGAAAATATTTAATTATGTGTGGATATTTTGAATATCTGTCTTTGTTGTGCTGATTTTCATTGTTTTTTTTTTTTTAAATGGTTGACTTTATTTTTGTAGTGATTTTTTTGTACTTTAAAGGGATCATATGATACTGCTAAAAAGAACATTATTTTGTGTATTTGGTGTAATGAAATGTGTTTATGCGGTTTAAGGTTAAAAAAACACATTATTTTCCACATACTGTACATTATTGTTTCTCCTCTATGCCCCGCCTTTCTGAAGTACGTCGATTTTTACAAAGCTCATCGGTCTGAAAAGCGAGGTGTGCTCTGATTGGCCAGCTATCCAGTGCGTTGTGATTGGCCGAATACCTCAAGCGTGTGACGGAAATGTTATGTCCCTTACCATATTGTGATGCCCTGTCCGGCCGGAGCGACGAGACAAAAACATTAAAACCCATTACAAACGAGGCATTTGTTGCATCCAGTGGGGACACAAAGAAGTTTCGCTTTCACAATGAAACACACAGTGCCTCCACAACATGGCGGCAGCAACAATACTACAGCGAGAATAAAAGTTACGCCTTCTTTCTTTGCGTGAACATTTGGGTGGTGTTATGCAAATCTTCCCACACAGTGACGTAGACATGTGGGGGCGTGTTGGAACGAGGCGTTTTAGGAGGGCGTGGACCAGTCTTAACTTTATAAAGAATATCTCTTTGGATTTGAGACTTTAGTCTTTGCAACTTTAGGGATCTTATCTATTCACGAACAGCTTGTAACACTCCAAAGAGAAAGGAAAATTTGAAACTGGATCATATGACCCCTTTAAAAGCCCAACATATGATCAGTACGTTATATACTTCAGTGCTATTTGATATCTAATTTTTCATTAAATATAATATTTTTATTAGACATTAAATTTAAGTTAAAGTTTTAAGTTTAGTTTTTTTAATAAAGTGTCAGTCATTCTCTTCGTCCGCTATATGACCCAGTATCATGATAGTAAAATGCATAATACATTTTCTATAATAATTGCTAAATGATTGACAAATTGTCCAAGACATTACGTATGATCGGTTGGTAAGATACTGGTTATGCTGTCTTTGACATTTATACATGTGATTCATACAACTCAAATAGTACAGTTCACTTTTTAAAATATAATTCTTAAAATATCTGGCAAGGCATCATTTAGTTGTTATTTTTGTCGGTTCATTTAACACACATGTGCATACAGTGTTGTGTCATTAACTGTGTTTGTTTTTGTGTAATAGGTGAGCCGGAGTTTAAGTACATTGGGAACATGCACGGTAATGAGGCCGTGGGCAGAGAGCTGCTCATCTATCTGGCTCAATATCTCTGTAATGAGTACCAGGAGGGCAACGACACCATCATTGACCTGATCCACTCCACACGCATTCACATCATGCCCTCCATGAATCCTGACGGCTTCGAGAAAGCAGCCTCACAGGTAAACACACACCTTACACAAGAAGAAGAACATAAACAGAATGCAGTTGTATCTTTGGTTTTTGGTGTCCTGTGTTTCAAATGGGCCTAAAATGCAAAATAAAAAGCCTAATTAGGGATAGTAAAGATCCATTTCCAAAAGCACAAACATAAAATAACATTTGAAAAGTTAAAAAAGGTTGTGATTAATGTACACAGTATATTTACTGTTTGTGAAAATGAAAATATTAAATACAATTCGAAAATTCGATTTTTTAAAAAACTATTTACCATTTATCATGTGTTCTCATATTTCCATCATGACAACCCTTGGAAGATTTTAGCATGGTAATGGTTATGATGTATTTAGTCTTGGCTACTGCTGCTGCTGCAAAGCAAGTACAGGAACTTGCTACTGCCAATACATATGCCGATACGCTGCTGTGAGTATTTAAAACATACTGCTGCTGCACAAGTAGCAGATCTATACAGGTGGAGCTGTGGAAGGTGGAGGGTTTCAGTGGAACTCTGAAATGCTCTAGTGAATGTATAGCAGCAAGCTCATTTGCTGCGTATGCAACATTACGTGAGAGTAACAATAGTTCAAAAATCACTAGCGGTTGACAAATTTCTACTGGTTTATTGTGTTTACTGGTATATCGCCTACCCCTACTATAGTACTGTTTTGATCTCTTTGCTATTTGCAATGGTTATTATTTACTATTTGCCATACCTGCTATGTTTCCATCCACCTATTTTTATGCAAATTTTGGAAAATCGCATTTAAAAAAACGCTGGATGGAAACGCCAAGAAGATTCTAAAAATGCACATAAAAAACGTATGCACACATTTGAGAAGGATAAACTTTTTATCGAATAAGAAAAAATGTGCATAAACTACGATGGAAACACATTTACCAAATAAATTCTTCCATGCGCATCGAAAAAGTCATGTGACTTTACGATATGAGACGGGATAACTTGACTAACCAGTGGACCGATCTAGTTCACAGCATCTATATGTTGTTATGGTCATTTTGAATTGCCTGAACCAAGTCTGTCATCAAATTATTTCTGTATAATTGTCTTACATGACTGCGTTCCCAAACAGCAGGCATCCACCTCCGAAAGCAATGACTGCATTTATTGTGTTTCATCTGCTCGCTCTGCGGCGCAAGTAATTTATCACATATGAAAATTACTATATTCGGTGGCTTCTCCTAGTTTTCTTAGTGATATTTAGTGCCAGTTTACCAGGAAAAGATGATTTTGTTCTCTTTGACTCATTGGATGGACACGGTGCTTTATTTGCGAATGTTTTATGCGATATTCCAGTTTTGCGCATAAGTTTAATTTGAATCTTTGGATGGAAACATAGCTACTGTGATTTTTCATTAATTGTATTAAAAACAAATTAGGGTTGACTAGCAAACAAAATATTAATTATTAACTTTATTTATAGTATTATATAGAGCCCACAACAATTAAAAAAAATCATAGATAATAACACGTGAGGTTTCAATTAAATTTTGACCGCTGAACTAAAAAAAAATCCCCGGTTTCCATTTTAAAAAACTGTTCACCTTATTTTAGCATAGAGTTTTGTTGGCAGAATGCAGTGGTGCTGATTTCATAACACTTTACTGTGGCTTACCACATCCTTCTGCAGTCTGTACTCACACAAGTGTGGGCTTTGACATTTCACGACACATTTGACATATTTTATACATAAGGTCCCTGGACTTTTAGTTTCACATTTGTTTAGGGGAAACCAAAAGATTATTAAACACCTCACTGGGATGTGGTTTACCACACTGCTTTACTGCTTCAGCTTTGATAAATGTCTATCCAGACCACACAGCAAACATGCGTTGTCTCTGGGTTTTTCTGTTTGTTTTAGAGGTCGATGGAAAGTCCTGTCCTGGCAAATATGAGCACAAAGGTTGCGTCTTTTATGGGAACTGTACATCAAAAAAATTTTACTATAAAATGATTTCAGTAGGATAGAGAGGATTACAGAGGTCACAGATGGGATAAAGTCTTGTGATCATGGGTGATATGGGTTTTATTCGTATGTTAAAACAAATGTTACGGTTGTATTCAAACTTCCTCTTTTAGCCAGACTCACTTTACAAGACTCAGGCATATCATTTTCCAGTGTCTGAAAAATGATGAGTAACCAAAGTGATTTCCTCCTCAGTCTGAAACCTAGGTTCCACGAAGTCTAAACTGAGTCTGTTCAGCTTTCACCTGTTTGTGTTATGTTTGCCCTGACAAAAAAATTAAACCCCCTTTTTTAAAGGTTTGCTATACAACTCAAAGGTTTAAGGTCTGTAAGATAACAGAACAATTAGCAAAAATTGCAACATCTGTCTTAAATCATTTATTATAATTATTATAAATATGAATACACTTTGTCACTTTCTTTAAAAAAGTTATGGGGTCAGCAAGTTTTTAAGACATAGTTGAGTGACTTTAGCTGTTAACCTCAAACACACACACCCCCACACCAAATAAGTACCTTGAAAGTCAATAAAATGTACTTTACTGGTATGAATAAAACCTTCATAAAGAGTCTTTTAAAAATTGTGACAAGAAGAACATACACATTTGGGACAATTTTTCATTTTTGAGTGAACTACTTGAAAATGAAGATCTTACGTGTTTTTGTTTTAAAAGATTGTGGTAATTCTGCTAATGGTATCATTATTATAATATTTATGTGCAGTCTGGTGAGATGAAGGACTGGTTTGTGGGCCGCAGCAATGCTCAGGGGATTGATCTGAACCGGAACTTTCCAGATCTTGATCGCATCGTCTACATGAATGAAAGAGAGGGTGGAGCCAACAATCATCTCCTGAAAAACATGAAGAAAGCTGTGGATGAAAACACCAAGGTGAGAGAGTGTTTGATCAACTATTTGTTAAATATCGCAGCATGGTATTAGTAGTATTACACATTTTGGAGCATCAGTTTTTAGACTGGTAAAATATTTTTTTTTTACCTGTGTTACAGCTGGCACCAGAAACTAAGGCTATCATTCACTGGATTATGGACATTCCATTTGTCCTATCAGCCAATTTGCATGGAGGAGACGTGGTGGCCAATTACCCATATGATGAGACACGCAGTGGTGAGAAACCACATGCATACACAAAAAACAATCACATATAAACATATACATTCATATACATTCTTAAATAGATATGATGAGATATGATATGATATAATTTTTTTTTGTTTGCAGTCCGTAAGATTTTTTGAAAAAAAATTGATAATTTTATTCATAAACATTACATTTACATTGGTACAAAAGATTTATATTTCAAATAAATGCTGTTCTTTTGAACTGTGTGTAAATAAAGGAATTCTGGAAAAATGTATCACTAAATGTTTCCACAAAAATATTAAGCAGCATAACTCAACAATAATGAGAAATGCTCCTTGAGCACCAAATCAGCATATTAGAATGATTTCTGAGGATCATGTGACACTGAAGACTGGAGTAATGATGCTGAATACCCTCACAGGAATAAATAAACGAATTAAATACATTTGATTTTTAAATGTATATTAAAATAGAAGACAGTTCATTTCAATTATAATAATTTTTCACAATATTACTTCTTTTTATTGTATTTTTGTTCACATAAGTAACTTTTGAATAGCATTGCAATATAATATAATTACACAGTAACCCTAACCCTTATAGACACCTACAGAATTTGCATCATTCGACTTAATTAATTAATAGACCTTTTTTACTAGTTGGTTTTAGAAAATGTTACCAAAAATGTGGACCAAGTATGGCCCAAATATTTACAAGTATAGTCAATCAATTAAAGTTTAATAGAATTAAACCAGGAAAAGTTATCATATAATTTGATTGGCTATTTAGTTTTTCTCTGTTTGTCCATCAGGTTCTACTCATGAATATAGTGCTAGTCCAGATGATCTGGTGTTTAAGTCTCTGGCTAAGGCCTACTCCAGCTATAACCCAGTGATGTCTGACCCAAACCGGCCTCCATGCCGCAAGAATGATGATGACTCCAGCTTCAAAGAGGGCATCACTAATGGAGGCGCCTGGTACAGTGTGCCTGGAGGTATAATGCACAGCTTCAGGAAATCACTAATATATTGTATTAATTGTGTTGTACATTGATTTATTAGAAACATAATAATTATTGTTATTAGTATTAGTATTTCACACAGCATAATAATGTATTGATTGTGCTGTACATCTGTGCGAAGGAGTTTATATTGTCAAAGCCACTTATTTTTCTTAATTGATTAGTGATCTAGAAATAGTGCAGAATATTAAATATTTCATTTCAAATTCTCAAAATGATTGTTAATTATTATACACTTTTATGAAATCTAAATTATAATATTTGGACCTTGCTGTATGATGCTATGTAATAATATGTCTCATCGGGACATTGTCTGATGTATATTTTTTTATAAAGGCTAAAAGCAGAAGGTTTAATACCAGATTTAAAAAACAAACAAACAAAAAGGCATGGGAATTCATTTGACTAAAGCTGGTAATCACATCTAGAGAATTGTGCGCTTCCGAATTTGTGGCAGAAGTTTGGGGAGAGCCTGACAGCATCTTTGGGATAAATTGAAATGGCCATTGCAGGCTTTACCCAACACCAATTCTTGACCTCACTGATGTTCTTTCAAATCCCCACAGCCATGTTCCAACATTTATGGCGCTTTTCCACTGCGTGGTACGACTCAGTACGGCACGGCACGGCTCGGCTCGGTTTGCGTTTCCACTGCAGTTTAGTATCGCTTTAGAGTGGGTGGGATTATTCACATGTCGTTAGTTGCGCCACCTCTACTGCCGCGACTCCTGAAAAACATTTTCATTCCGTGTCGCCCCATCAAGCTCTCGCTGGATCCGCTCCTCTGCTATCAACGAGAGGAACGTCTGTACTTCCTCAACAGACAACGAAACAGCCACTTTTTGGTTGTTAAAAAAGGTGCGCTCGTTCAAAACAGTTACGTTCGATCCTTCGCTGGCTGTGCTGATTTAAATCTAGCGGTTCTGTTGTGTTTGTGTCGCAAGTTCAGTGACGCAGGTAGCGACGATTCTTTCCGGCCAATCCGTGATCAGCAGAGTTTACATGTCACGTTTTGGTAACGGTACGGTTCACTTGGAACCTCAAAAACTAAAAAAAGTACCAGGTACCAGGTACTGTACCCAGTGGAAAACCCCCCAAAAGTGAACCGTACCGAGCCGTACCATGCAGTGGAAAAGCGCCATTAGTGGAATGCTTTCCTGGAGTAGTGGAAGCTGTTCTAGCAGCATTGGAGGGGATTAATACAGATGGTTTTGAAATTAAATGCGCAACAAGCTCATATGAGTGTATGTTCAAGTGTCCACATACAGTACTTTCGCCACATAGTGCATGTTAATTAAAAAGAAAAAAATACCAAGAAAAAGGCCACTTATAGGGATAGTTCACCTTCAGATGCTGGTCCACATTGACTACCATATTATGGGAAAAAAACACTATGCAAGTCAATGGGGATCAAATGAAGGTGAACTATCCCTTTAACGTCAGTTGCAAACCTTTGATCTTTCCATTTCTCTCTCTCTCTCTCTCTCTCTGTCAGGTATGCAGGACTTCAACTATCTGAGCAGCAATTGTTTTGAGATCACTTTGGAGCTGAGCTGTGATAAGTTTCCTCCTGAGGACACACTCAAGCAGTACTGGGACCAGAACCGCAACTCGCTGGTCAACTACATAGAGCAGGTACAGCCGAATCCTTTGCTTTCGAATGCCTAGTTTTCGTTTGAAAATGCTGACAGGGAGGGAGAGTTGTTTTGTTTTCTGTAAAGCTCGGACTCATGAGTTAGGATTAGAAGGAGGTAGTTTCATCCCTTTTGATCCCTCATGTCCTTCACAGGTTCACAGAGGAGTGGCAGGATTTGTTCGTGATCTCCAAGGGAACCCCATCTCAAACGTTTCTATTTCTGTTGAAGGAATTGACCACGATATGACCACAGGTACACAAACAAGCACATACATACACACAGCAATTTGAATTTATAATTATAATAAAAATATATATAATATACTTTTAATAATTATTTTAGTGCTGTCAATATTAGCACGTTAACGCAGACGATTAATATTTCCAGTTTAATGGCGTTAAAAATATTTAACACCGTTAACGCAGGGGTGGAGCTAGTGTTGGCCACCCCACTCACAACTGCTGCTTCTGTCTCTTTTTTCTTGACAAAATTGCATTTATTTAGACCGAGCGGCAACTTCCCGCTCTCTCTCGTGAAGCCAACAAGGAAGTGACTTAAACTGTAATTCATCGACTGGCCGCTAGAGGCTGGCTGCAAAAGGGAGTCAATCCCATAGACTCCCCATGTTAAAATGCTGAACTTTACAGCAGAAAAAAACATGTTTACAGCCTGGTTCAAAAAATGATTTTGGTCTATATAGCTAATTTTGCCCTTAATGACAACTGTGAGGGGGGTGAATTTTTTTATAACTCATCCGTTTAAATTATATTAAGCCTTAAAGTTCTGCATAATTAAGGGCGTGGCCACTTGAGTGACAGGTGGATTGCCGCTGTTGTCACCACCGTCGAGCTAGGTGGGTGTGGTTTCAGCAGCCATCTCCTGCCTCTTTGCCCATTTTCGATTATCCGGGAGTGAAGCGCGGTGACGCGCTGCCAAGATGGTGACGGCTGGCTCCGCCTACTTTATGCTTCAAAATGCTCATCGGAAGTCTACGGGTTACGTCACTACGTCCATGTTTTTATACGGTCTATGTCTGTGTCCGAAATCGCCCCCTAAACCCTCATTCACTATTCCCTACATTAGGTCACTAATTCAGTTCACTAGAAGGAGTGAATGAAAATGAGTAGTGAATTCGGACACAGTGCACCGGAAGGAATACCGCTTTTGCATAGTTTGTGCTTGCTGTTTATTAATCATTTGAAACTAGCAAACTAGCAACTCCAGTAGTAAGATTAAAGGATTAATCCTGAACTCTGTCACGGAAATTATGTATAAACCCTAATCAAACAATTTAATAATCAATTTACAATTAATTTATACCCGTGTTGTACATTATGCTGTACGCCATGGATGAGTGCTTTGTAAAACTGAACGGATTGATTATTCAGCTGCGGGCGAGAGGCGCGTGAATCTCACGGTGCATTATGGGCATTCTCTAGCCGTTGAGCGTGCACCAGTTGGACACTTGTTTTTGCAATGCATTGTGGGATTGAATGAGTGCACTCGAGAACGTCCACTATGGTTTCGGACACCACTAAAAATGTCTGTTCCCTCAAATAGTGCCCTATTTAAGGGTATAGGGGGCGATTTCGGACACAGC